GAGTATGTTTGTGATTTTGATTTCTGTCTTGATAGTATTGTTTGTTTCCTCTTTGGTATAAATTGAGAATCAGTTTTCATGAAAGGTGGTTATTGATAGTCTCTTCTTTTTTTGACTCCATAGAGTTTTTCTTGAGGGGCTAATTGCAGTTAGATTTGCTACTTTAACTGTTTATCCTATATTCCTTTTGTTAGACATTCATATTGTTTATTATTAAAATGCTGTTTGCAGATACTTGGAACCCCTTGCAACTGCTTTGGATAAGGAGAAATGGTCACTTGTTCAATTTCTTATGTCATCTTCATATAGTGGATATGGCACCACCAGTTTGAAACAAGTAAGACATGTTCTCCAGTTAGATATTATTGATTCTTGGCGAACTGCTTCATCATTCTTAGGTTATCTTTTTCCATGTTTAATGGGTTTGTTTATTCTACCAAAATATTGGTTAAAGCCCTGCTTTTGCTTTGCTGAAAATTTTTAAATGATATTTTCAAACAAGACTTGTGGTTCAAATTTTCTATTAAAATCAATGCTCTTAACGTGAGATAAAATTTAAAAACTTACACTAGGATAATTTTTTAAACAAAATGCCTTGTAAAACTACTTGGTTTTTAATGTGAGGTTTTTGCTTGTAATGAAGTGATAAAGGCAATGGGATTCTCCTGCTAATTCTTGTGATTTTGCACTTGTCAAAGAACTTCGAATTGGAAATTTCAAATTGAATTAATACGTTCACTATTAAATTGTCAATACATGTAATCATTAAGTCATTTTTTGGTGTGTGTACTTATTTTTTCTGATTTGGTGGAATATATCTCTTTCTACTGTACTGTTTCAAAAAGTCACTTTGACAATCTTTAATGATTTTCAGCAAGTTGATAGGTTAAGAAATATGTTTTAAGCAATTCATCACAAGACTGAACATAAATCCTGACCTTGCAATGCATCCAAGATATTGCTTCTGAAATCTAGGGAGTTCAGTGAATCTGTAATGTCCATCTAAGACAATTTTTTCTCTCATGCTACCCTCACTAAATAAACTCACACAATGCTTTGCTTTCAAAAATAAGGCAAAACTGGTGGGCTGTAGATTTAAAGTTGCTAACTTGCCTCCTTCTTCTACTCCCTCTACCTATCAAAATGCCATAAGACAGATAGCTTGTTTGAGGGATAAGTGGATTACTAAGAGAGGGATGACCAATTTGACAATAATCCTGATTATGATTGCCCCACCCTTCAGAGACTGTGGAAGAAATTCTTTTGTCTTCACTGTTTGGCTGGAGGATAAATACTTATGTGTCGAAATTTGATAATTTGAAACTTATAATATTTTCATCATTCTATCCTCATTTTGTTGCAGTTTTCTTTTCTTTGCCTGGAATTTTGGTAGTTGAATTCAAGGAAATTAAAATTATTTATCCCCCAGCAATCATCTATTCTCACTGTTATAATTATGCTCCAAATTTAAGATGTTCTTCCACCATATATCATGAAGGATGCCTTGGAGCTTGATCAACTGATCAGTTACCTAATCAACAAAGAAAATTCTGAGGGTGTGGTTTTACTTGGTCATAGTACAGGTTGTCAGGTAAGAGCTGATTTCTTTGTAAACTTGTTCTGTATCTGAAGATTGTTTGGACTTTTGATCATTTTAACATTTTCGTCTTTGCTCCTAAATCTAGGATATTGTGCATTACATGCGTACCAATGCTGCATGTTCCCGAGCAGTTCGTGCTGCCATTTTGCAGGTAATAACTATCTATTTTGACTAGGGTCCTATTCATATATTCCTTATGTTAAGATTTGACGTAAAAAGAAAAAAAGGTTAAACGAAATAATAATGACCTTCGTTTGTTATTAATACCTACTCATTCATAGTACATGCATAGTATGTTTAAGTTGCTTAAGTCTTAAATTAACCATTAGTCTGGTTCTGTACTAAATGATGCAAACTTTTGATTGACAACAGGCTTGCATAAACTTTTTTGCTTCTAATTTCATATGATTGACAGCTTGAGTTTTGAATATTTTGAATAATCCCATGTTTTCCTAATACAACATTTCACATGTTTTATTGTTACCTATGGGTTTTTCATTCACATGGAGCTTTTCTGATAATGCCAGTTTGAATGTTCAGGCTCCAGTTAGTGATCGAGAATATAGAGCGACTCTTCCTGAAACAGCTGCTATGATTGACTTGGCTTCAAGCATGATAAAAGAAGGCCGTGGTTCAGAATTAATGCCAAATGAAGCAGATCCATCTGCCCCTATAACTGCCTATAGGTGGGTATGCTACTGTAGCTTATTCACTGAAAATATTGTTAAGAATATTGTTATTATCATTTCAAGCCACTGCTTTTCACTGAAAATGTACCTTGCAGATATCACTCCCTTTGTGCCTACATGGGGGATGATGACATGTTTAGTTCGGACCTTAGTGATGACCAGCTTAAACAGAGACTTGGACATATGACTACCATTCCTTGCCAGGTATAGTTTCTTGTCTGAATTGTTCAATCGGTCATTGAGATTATTCTAATTTTTGTAAACTTACTTAGACTCATTTGAGAGTTATTTAGGGGAAACCAGTTCTTTTATGCATGTGGCAATAGAAACTATTCTTTCCCTGCAGCTTGACAATTCTTTGTGAAGTTGATGGTTATGACTATATTTGCTGATATAATATTTTGGGTTCTCTTTTCCCTCTTATTTTTTCTGGGGGAAGGGGGAGGGGTGGTTCCTGGATGTCTAATACAAAAGGATATCACTGTGAGTCAAACTCAAACCTAAGATCCCATGCTAGTCCCTTGCCTACCAGCCTCCCTAACCATTTTATTTCCAACCATGGCAGTTTAAGCATCATGATGCAAGTATGCAACACAATTTCAAAGGATTTGCTTGTTACAAGGATCTTAACTTGGTACCTATACATTTGCTTCAACTCAGTTATCCCATGTGTTAAATGCAGGTTATCTTTTCAATGGCTGATGAATATGTGCCAGAATATGTTGACAAGAAATCACTGGTTGCAAGGTGAGGCATTTAATGATTTTCCAGACCATGATGTTTGTTTTGCTTAAAGCAATAAAAGCATCCCATTATGTGGCTCTATGCGGGTAGTGTATAAGAGAGAGACTGATCATATGTTGGCATGTTAACTCATGCAGATTGTGCAGAGCATTAGGTGACGCAGAGAAAGTTGAAATTGAGTATGGGAATCACTCCCTCTCAAACAGAGTTGAAGAAGCTGTCCGGGCCATGGTAGATTTTGTTAAAAGAGACGGTCCCAAGGGCTGGGATGATCCATGGAACTAATCTTCTAGTTTGTGTACAATATAGTTTTCCTTTGTCTTTATAGTTTATCTCTCTCTCTCTCTTTTTTTTTTCTCTGAAATTTATTTTCCTTCACTTATTCAATCAACGTTTTGGTTTTTCCATTATGCTTGGTTATATTAATTGTTCAACCTTCAAATACATAAAAGGTATGCTTATGGCTTGTATTTTTTAACCTTGTATTGGTTTCTTGCAAATGGAAAACCCAGTTTTGGCCTTAACATTTGTGGTTATTAATGATTGCCATGGTTCTAAGAGAAAAATGCATTCTTCCTTCTTGGGTATGTTTAGAGATTGCATGAAGAGAAGTAAATTGCTAATTGAGGGGTTTTTTGGAAGATAACGTAAAGCTAGTTTATTTTCATGTTTGGATGGTTTATAAAGAAAATATAGGGGAATTACAACATCATGATCAAATATCATACAATTTGACGAACTTTGTCTTATATGGATAAAGGGAAATACATGCATTATTACATGACGATATGACATGTTGGGGATACAACCATGATTCAGTCATTAACAGGGATGTCTCTCTTCTTTTCTTTCTATCTTGATCTTGGGGTAAAGGAAAAGAATGGGGTTTGTGAAAAAAGGGAGGTTTGTTGGGATTTTCACTATTCGATTACCTTTTGCTTTAAGAACTTTTTGAACAAGAGAAATGGTACTTTCTTTACTTTATTTTCCCACAATGCAAGCATGGGTTAAGATGCTACATAAGTTTCATTTTAGGCAGATTATTTTCTTTCTTTCCAAACAGAGGACAGCAAGTGGCAAAAGGAAAGAGGGCACCTTCTACCCGAATTATGTTTTCATGACGAGTTAACATGGATCTTTCTGAAGCACAAATTCCCCTCAGGAGAGGAGAAAAGCTGCTGTCCTGGGGCTAGAGTCTCATAATTCTAGTTAAACATAACCGAAGAAAAAAAAAATTCAAATCATACCCACCAATGGTCACATTTTTGTGAGGTTGGGTTGGTAGTGGTTATGGGGTTGGTGGGATTGTTACCTCCCATTAATGGCATACCATGCCATGCCATTTGGCATTATTCTTAGGGTTCAGGAGGAGACAGTAGTGGACACTGGGATGGGAAGTATCAAGGTCGGTGTTGCAGTCGCGCAGTTGCACTTGTCTTTTGCACAAATTCAAGGGTTAAACACCACAGCCCCCACCCCA